TTAGTGGGCTTTGGAGTCTGGATGAGTATCATGAATCTTGGTGTCATTGGTATGATCATGTGTCTTTCAGCTTTGTCTCTGACAGGGGTTCCTGTTAAATGGACACAGACATTTATGTTAGCCATTCCTTTTCACGGAACTCAGAGGCATTTCAGGAACTTGTCTTGGATATCGGAGTGGACGTTCATCTCCGTGTGTGTGTGTTCCCTGGGCCTCCTATCGGATGAGGCAGCCCAGCTTCTTGGTGGATCTCACAAAATAAGCAGCCTGAGGTCGTGTCAGTATTTTAAAAAGATGCCTTTATTCAGCCTGCTCCTGTTTTAGGTGTACTTTAATTCTGGCAATATATCCTCTCTTTTAAGTGGGAAATGGTATTAGGGCTCTAAAATTAGAGCCAACTGTCTAAGGGTGCTCAGCTGATAAGGTACGCCTGTTTTCACCCATCCTTTTGCATCCCTATGTTTGCTGCATTGAGCAGTGCTCAACATGGCTCCAAAGAGATGCTCTTCTCCCTGGTGGCAATGCCCCCAGGAGGTGATGGCAGCACGCTCCACCTTGCTAGGGCACGCTGCGTTTCTGATGTCCTGGCTACCCGTGGCCAAGGGACATTGCAGTCTTGAAAACCTTTTTGTGGTCATGACCCCATTGCCCTGACAGATGCACTAGGTTATGTGATGTCCACCAAAGCCTGACGGTTTCTGGAGGACACAAGAGCCTCCCTGTTACTGAGCGAGCCTGTGCTGAAGGCAGCAGAATGACTGCTTGCTCTGCAGCAAAGGGGACACCTGCACCCCATCTCCTTTCCATGGGTTGTGTCTTCTCTCCCCACGCCTTGGGGAAGGGATATGTGAAGGAAAGCAGCTCTGGGTTTCGTGTGTTATGAATGGAGCTTGCAGGGTAACAGATCCTCACGAGGGCTGGAGGCAGCCATGAGGCGGGAAAAGAGCCTGCCAGGGTGGTGTAGCTCTTCCCTAGCACGTGGCCCACAATGTTTACCCTACATCCAGCAATGCTAATACGGAAGAAGCTACAGCTCCCTCAGCATCTCACATCACCCGCCTCCTTCAACAATCCATCATTTCCTTTATCCCAAACACAGGACTCATGTCAGCTCTGCCTGCCTTCCTTCCAGCAGCATTATATATGTAGACCATGAGGTCCACTCCTTCATGGGAGGAGTGCGAGCAAGCGTGCAGAAGGGGCATGTTTCATGTGGAAATGACTTTCGAGGGGAAGGCCCACACAGTCAGCTCAGAAGACAGCATCTTCTGAGACTGTGCTGGGAGAAAACTGCCACAGCAAAAGCCTGAGAGAGGTGGCCTTACTTCTTCGTCACCTGAAGGAGGGGGTGAGGAGGTGGGGTGTGACTGACTATAGACAAAAGGGGGCACTGACTTTGAGAGGATGCTGCAGGCTAGAGCCATCCAGCTTCACTATTCAGAAATGCCACCATGAAGATGAGACTCGGCACACAGCAGCATTGAAGCTCAAGGAGATACGTACTGGACACCTTCAAACCAGTAGCCACTTCTAAAGCTTTTCTTTTGGGGCTGAGTTATAAACTGAAAATAATAATAATGTTGTCTTTCCTCATCAAAGTTTGGCTAGGCTGTATCAGCACTAAAGCATGGACAGGCCTTCCATGCAAGACGATATTAAAGACGACTGTTCACTTAACATATTATTATATTAACTCTATTGCTCCTGTAACTGGTTATCTCACCACAAATCATGTGGCAGTCTTAGATATGGGGTCTTTTTTCCTCTGAAAAGGTGATGTGGAGTTTGTTTCCCTTTAGAACTGATGTTCTCTTCTAGCTCCCCCTACCCAAACTGTCATTCTGTATCCTTGAGTCTCTTTAGTCATCCTCCTATAAACCAGTCTTTGCAGGGGCAGTTCTTTTAGGGAGCCTTGAAAGCTCATAGTATTGCAGGAAAGCTTCCTCTGCCCCTTGTGGGAAAAGCCCTTGGCCTGGGCAGCAAAATCATCGTTGAATCTGCTGGTGCTGACCAGAGACCTTATCTTGCAGTTGGTGGTGACATCCACAGAGATGACTGGGTATTTCATTTGAGGAAGAACAGCCTCTGTGAGAGGAAGGACAGCCCGGCTTCTACAAGAACATCCAACATCTTGAGCCTCATTGGGTAAAAGTCATTAAAAAATGTGGAGTCCTTATAAATTCTTCTCCCCTTCAGCTGAAAACTTTTCCCTAATAGTGTCTTTCAACAATAAGGAGTCCAAGAGCATGAGGTAGTATCATCCCTGAAGGCCAGCTGCTTTGGTGGTGCAAACCAAGGGAACTCTATATTCAGAAGAGCTGGTTCATCTGAAGAAATAGCCCTCGGACAGTATGGATTGATTGCCCCACGCAAGTGACCTGAGGCTCAAAGTAAGTTTATTCCATGTGCAGTTTCAGACAGCCAGCAGTCTGTACAGCTGAGTTTGCTGAGACGATAGCCAACCCTCATGTGCTGCCTCTTGCTACTAGTGAAAAGTGGAGCTCAAGCAGGTAACATGCAAAATGCACGTGAAGGGGTGGGATCAGGGAATTAATTTTGTTTCCCATAACAGTAAATAAAAATGCCCTCGTGATCCCCATGCACTTGCCATAATGTAGTAAGACCACAATTAGCACTTAATACTATTTAATAAATATGCTGAATAACTTAGGCAACAGTAATCAGTAATTGCACAGATAAATAACAGACTTGACCAGTCAGCAGTGTGAAACAATCATAAGGAAACAATACATTCATTTTGCTTTCCATTTTAAGGTTGGATTTGGGCATCCCTGCCTAATATCCTGCAGAAGTCTTCTTCCAACATTGCAGATACATTTGGCTATCAAAGCGGTCTGTATTTCTTTGTTTTGTACTTATTACTGAACTGGGGACAGAAACCTCATCTATTATTTGGGGGGCAGGGGGCTGTGAGAAGGGGAAGAATAGAATTAAACTGTGGTCTGAAAATTTATAATGCCTTTTTTGATCAGGTTTGTAATTCAGGAAGGTGTTGAAAGAACAAGATTAAATGTAGGGTTTTCAAACCAAAATTACTCTGATAAATCCAAGTCATAGAGTAGACACTTTGGGCACTCAAAGGCATTTCCCTGGGCTCAGGGACACCGGGAATCCCGTAAAGCATCTGCGGAGGTACCTCATACCTCCCCCTTGGTCCCCACTTAAGAACAAGGCCCCACAGGTATCTGTCAGGGATGGAGCTTGCTTTAACAGGGCGTCTTGTTCAGCCAGGCCCCACGCAGTGCTTTAAAGCCTGACTTCTTTGCACTTCCCGTTTTGAGAACCTGTATCCACAGAGCCCTCAAATACAGCACACTGGCCTTCCAGCAGCCTCCTTCCGCAAACTTATATTCTTAAGGTTAAATATTAGTCAGCAACAGCTCACATTCATAGGATTTGGCACTATTACTTGAGTAAATGTATAATCACTGGAGGGCGTTTCCGAGGGAGGAAGTGTAAGCTGCACAGCTCTTCCTGAGCCCCTCCGAAGCTGCGGAGGAGCCGGGGTACGGAGCAGCCATGTGAGCGGTGCGCTCACCTCACCCTCCGCCCTCGCCTGCTGCCAGCACGCAGCCCATCACAGGGCCGGTGACGGGCAGGGGATTTCAGGTTCACAGCTGTCATGGGATTTACCCAATTCTGCTGTCTCGTTTGCCCTGTATCAAAGGCACACGATACATACTGTATCTTGAAAACTTGCTCGGTAAAGAGTGCCAGCAGAAGGCAGCCCCGTAAATTACTTGCTGCTGACCTTTGATTCAAGTACCAATATTTAGCAAGCAAATATTTAAAACCATGCCATTAAGAAGGGAGGCACAGCTTTACTGTGGGGAACTCGGGCAAGGGGTGCTGCTGAGAAGGGCCCGGGCTGTGCAGAGGAAGAAGCAAGCAGCCTTCGTCCCCTCCTCTCCCTCCCAACCCAGCAGCCAGCCCTGCCCACCGTGCCCACGGTAGGGAAGGGGCAGACGCTTAGACCCCAACAAGGTGGATGGCTGCTGTACCAAGCAAGGCAGGAGTTTTAAAGCCCTGGAAGGCTGGGTGAAGCTGTTTCAACATCCAAAGGCAAAATACCCATGGCCACCCCTCCGGCTCACATTGCCTCCTGCCCCGCACAAGCGGAGGCCGTGTGATGGGGAGGCCACCTTGCTGATCCGGTTGCCCGGTGTGACCAGAATATGGCTGGCCCCAGGGGACTGTCCCCAACTACTAGTCTGTTGCCATGGCTGGGACCCACATACTGTCAAGTCTTCAAGAAATCAATTGGTCTCAGTCAGGTGCAGCAACAAGCCAAGAGGATATTTTTCCCTCGGGAGTGGTGCAGAATTAGTTCTGTTTGTCAGTTTATAATTAGATACCTGCACTTAACAGAATTCTTCCAGCTGGATTTTTATAGCTTTGTCTCTTCTTTTTTAAACGTGAAAAATAATCGGTCTTAAAATAAAAGATTAAAAAAAAAGAAATTACCCTGGAAAGAGTCATCTATAAAAAGAGAAAATCCTTGCCAGGGGGATGCCACAGCAGCGAGCCCAAGCCACAGAAAGCCTAGTTGCAGGCTATCCTTTCCCGCAGCTACTCGGAGGTTAACCAGGGTCTGTAAGCAAACAGCTTAAAGAAGGAGCCCAGCTTAGTGCCTGGGTGTCTGGGGCTGTCCTGGGGACCGCCAGCCTAATGCCCTTCCAGCAGCCCCTCCCTCCCAAAGGCGATGCTAGGCAAACAGAGCCAGCCCTCGCCCTCGCCCCGCGCAGCAAGGAGCCCGCTGCGGGGACGGACTGGACCCAGACTGGGGCTCAGGGACATTGCAGAAGAGGGTGTTTCACTTCAGATGGGCGCGGAGCCATGTATATATAAACCCTGGAGCAGCAGCCCGGGAGGATTGTTAAGCACACCCACACGTCGACTCACTTGGCAGCACGACGAGGTGCTGCCGGCCGTCCCGGCGGCTGAACCCCGGCGTACAGGAGCGCGGGAGCAATCTGCCCATGGGCTCCCGCCTGCTGCTGATGTTGATGCTGCTTCAGGCAGGTGAGTACCACCTCTCGGTCCCGCTCCCTCCCCATGCCTCCCTGCTTCCCGGGACAGCCTCTCCCCTTGCTGTCAGCTTTCCCTGCTTCACGTCAGGCACCTCGGTGTGGTTTGGCCAAGTGAGAAAAAAAAGTCACTGCTCGACTCTTTTCAGCTGTATAGCAAGGGGCTCAAGTGAGCTGTCTGCCCGCTTTGCTTCCCTGGTGGTTTACATAGCTGGGGCTCTATAAACATGGGACATTTTCTTTTTGGCTAGTTGTCTGCTATGAAGTTGTTGGCATCTGTGTTTCTTCATAGAAATACCCTCTTTTTATACCAGTGACCGTGGTGTAAACAGTTTTCAATTCATCTGAATTTAAAATAATAAAAAAAAAAAGCCTGTTAAAAAAAGCCATAAATGTCTGCTAACATAAAGCCCCTACACACAGAGGCAACAAAACACTAAACCGGCAGGTCTGAGGTTATACCTGCAGCACGGTTTTAAAATAAAAACCAAAACCTTGCCTTAATCTACAGCAAAGGCCGCCCGTTTAGGCAGGAAATAGAAAGTGTAAGTTGTTAGATCCACCTCCACTCACCTCCCTGCAGGTATGTTGTCTGCTAAGGTGCCCCGTTAGTAGTGTAACTAATGATTGGACATGCTCCTAATGGGACATGTGGCTAAACGCAGGCTGCTGTGGAGACTCAGACTTTTTCAGGGCTTTCCCAGCTGCATTGGCTTGGCTGCCCAGCATAGAAAAAGCAACTTCAGTTCTTGGTCAAGTTACTAGCTGTGCCCCTGAATACTGAAACGTACTTGCTGGGGCTGACCTCTCAGCTGCAGTGACCCGCCGTCGGCTCAAAACCCAGCCAGCTTTCAAAGGACAAAACAGGAACATCAGAGGCTGCCTGGATGCCCGCATCATTTCAAGCTCTTGCAGAGCATGCAGCCCTAAGCACGCTAATTGAGTCTTTTGGACTCAATTCCCTTTGCGGCTTTCTCTCCAATTGCATGAGCAGCTCTGCACTGTAATTACAGTTCCTTGATCCTCAGAGATATCCCCGAAAGAAGAATGGCCTTTCTTCTTCTGGGTGAGGTGCAGTTACCTTACACCAACCTCAGCTGTTTTAAGCCAGTGGCCAGCAGACCAAGTCCAGCAGTCCTGGCTTAAGAGGTCAGCGAAAGACAGCTAAAAAAAAATACAAGCTGCTCATCAGGAGGCCTGAATGCCTACAAAGAAGTTTCTGTCTCCATCAGAACATTTTCAGGGTCTGCAAACTGCAACAGGTTGAAAAAGCGTGATTTTTAACCCAAAAATTCAGAGCAGCTCACTGCTTGTGATTTCCCCTGGGGTGCCTGAGAGCTGAGCCGCCTTCTAACTCCAGAGCCCCGCTGTTTAGACAAGGGAAATAGGTTGTCCCTTTAGTTTCGAATAACACCCGCCTAATGTGTTTTTAGCACGAAACCTGAACACTCAAGTAGTGTTTAGGTGAGCAGCACGGTTACTTTTTCAGGAATGTGCATTTAATCCCCGAGGAATGCCCCGGGAAGCATAAGAAGGCTGTACGAAACCCAGCCCTGGGACAGCCCGAGGCACCGATCGCAGGGGGAAAAATGGTGGAAGGCAGCACTCGTTCCTGCTGGGGACTCAGGCTGCAGAGAGGGAGCAAAGCCCTGCCTTGTCCTTCATGTGGAGAGACCCTCCTTGTCCTTGCTGGGGTTTGGATCAGGCTAGGAGGGTGAGCCAGTACAGGAGATGTGGGGAGAGGCCCAAGCAAGGGGATTAGAGGCTAGGTTTTAAAAGGAAAGCAACCGTTTTAATAATAGTATTGAGTCCTCGGGTGGTTTAGGGGATTAATTAGTCCATGTTTGCACAGCACTTTGAAGAGGTCAAGTGTGCTGCAGTAGCCAGGGGCAGGTGGCAAAGCGACTTCAGTGACGGTTTCTCAGCTCCCAGGCATCACCTCCCTCTCCATCCAAGCGTGCTGCAAAGCCCCCCAGTTGCAGCAGGCTTTTCTTTTCGGAGCGGCTGTGCATAAGTGGGACGAGCGGACGGGTTAGGCAGTCGGTCTGAGGGGTTTGATGCTACTGGTGAGTAGCTTTGCCATGCACAGCAGAGCAGCGCAAAGTGCACTTGGTCCTTCACTGTAAACCCAGGCAATAAATGCTCCTATCTGATGCTGTCGCTATCACTATCATTAACATGATAAGCATCAACGTTTGCATCTGAGCATCACAGTGGTTTGAGTATTAGGGGCAGGGTACTCGGTTTCTCTAGCAGTTACTGCAAGGCAGAATCTGTGGTTTCTAAAATGTTGCAAATTAACACCTGAAATCACAACACTGTTTGAAAGACTTTTAACTCAAAAAACCCCAGAACAGTTTGGGTGGCCATCCGCGCACTTCAGCTGACACAGAGCTCCTTTTTTTTCCAAATTAATGCAGCCTGCTTGATGTTACGACTTAAATGGAACGTAATAATGGAAGTGGATGTTAAGTGTTGCCAGCGCTTCCAAACACTCAAAAGAAAGCTGATACACAAACATCTTGGCTATTGTAGGCACTCTATCCTTGACAAAGTATACCTTACAGGCTCAGGGAGTTGTAGCTATCCCTCTACGCAAATTAATAGTACTGTCAGCTTTTTGCCATCTGAAGAATGGGTTAAAATATCCTGAATAGTAGGGGAAGCTTGGATAATATAAGACATCTTGGGCAACACAGAAACTTCATTTTTTTCCATAGAGCCCAGGTTAGGTCTGGTCGTGTGTTTCACGTCCCACTTGTGACTGCAGCATAGCTAGTAAGATTTCCCGGGTTTGTGAGCTCTGGGGTGCAGCGAAGCCCAGCTGGCTCTGTGTGGTGCTGGCACAGGTCCTGCAAAGCTTAACAGCTCGGGCTCCATGATGTGCAAAACTGGGCACATTGCTCCCAGGTGCAATATATCACATGCTAGTGCACCAGATCTAGTAGGTCTTGCTTGAATTGAGCTCCCTCTGCAGAAATAGCCTGCTTGGCTGAGGCCCCTGCAGAATCACCTTTGCAGGCTGAATGGCATGGCTAAGTAGATTCTCAAGGCTGCACCCAAACAACTGGTCAAAACTAAAAAAATCCCCCTTTAAAGGACTTTAAGAAAATCAGTGTCAGGCATGTTTAATCCTTGTGTGTACCCATGTCCTGTCTTTGCAGTTTGGAAAGGTGCTCTGGGAAAATCCCATTCACTGCACACCCGAGGAATCATCGAATTGGCAGGAGCCATAACGTGTGGCACAGGACGGTCCCCCTTGGCATATATTGGCTACGGATGCTACTGTGGACTGGGAGGACAAGGCTGGCCTAAAGATAAAACAGACTGGTAAGAAGAACCTCAACTGTGTGTCCAGAAGCAGTGCAGATCTCCCCACTCTTCCCTGTTCATACTCCTGTGACTCTATGGACTCTTTACTGCCTCATGGAGGGGGAACTTAGTATATATGAACAGCACTGGGCAACTGTGAGTGAGGACCCACGTATCACTTGGGGTTTGAATGAGGATGTAACCACCTTCCAGATGAGAGCAGAGCTCTTGGGACCTGGTACTCTGTGGGGTGGAGGGCAAAGGAGGAACCAGGGTATGATTTCATGAAATAGCTGCATGTTTATTCTTAGAGAGCAAACCCTGCCTGAAAAAAGGGGAGTGACCAAGGTATTTGGAGGGTTATTTCACCCAAGCCCTGAAAATGGGAGTGATGGGAATATCACTGTTTATCCTCTGGAAGAAATCCAGATCACTGCAAGGAGTAATCAAACCTGTTGCCTTCATTGCCTGTCAGTTCACACTGAATCAAAGAAGAACAACAGGGTAGAGCATGGTGTTATTTCCCCTCTTCTGTGTTAGTGGGGAAGATGCTGTGCTTGTTATTCCCAAGGCTAAAAGCAATGAGTCTAGGAGGTGTTGCAATCAAAGGTTTCTTTCTTGTACTTTGTGATAGCATACATGCAAATCTTGAGCATGGTGGACTCTTGCGTGCTCTGAGCCTGTTATTTGCAATCTTGTCTGGTTTTAAACCTCAAAGACAGAGCACACAAGTCTATCTCTTTATCTACAGTCAACAGTCCACGTGTTACCGATAAGCAAGTGCTGCTTTTAGCAGGGGTGAAGGCAGCATGGAGCTTACTGGGAAGGAAACCGAGCTTTCCAGAATACCCAGCTGTTGGAGACATTTCCCATTGCTACGAAACCAAACTCTGCTGAATTGGTAGGACAAAGGAAAAAAAGGAAGAAAAGATGCCAAGGTTAAAGGTCAACTCCTCTGTGGGCATAAAAGGGCAGGTGTGCCTTAAAACTAGTGGAGATGTCTTCATTAATGCAGTGAGATGTCTCACTCCCAAAGCCCTCTCTTCACGTCCCTGGTTTGTATCTATGAAACATTTCATCTATGAAACAGTCAATACGGGACTTACAAATAATGAATAACTGCCTACAAAGCACAGTTAGTCTACAAGCTTTCAGGTGTGGAGATTTCTTTTAATTTTCAGCAGTGTCTCTTGACCTGCTTATCACCATCTACAGAGGTGTCTGTAAATGTGTTTATTATTTTTGTTAGCCCTTTGCCAACTCTCATAATCAGGCCTTTAAAGTAAAACACAATTTCACTAATCTGGAGTACTTCTTTTACCGAAGGGCTGAGTGGAGTCACCTAAAAGCTCTTTTCCATAGAGGTGGAGTGACCCCCCAAGTTTAGGCAACTCTGGGAGATGCACATGGTCAGCAGTGCTGAAAAACAGACAGAGAGAGTAAAATATGGCCATGTGTTCATCAGCCAGTGTTTCTGCTGCCGTTTGATTTCCATGGGATGTGGATTTTATCCTAACAGCAGAAAATGAGACTGAAACTGGAAATGCCTCAAAATACCAGATAGTTTGTCAAAAGGAGTCTTGATCTGTTAAGTGCATTCATTATTATTCCTTAGCTGCAATGCTTGGCTGCAAAAAAAAAAAAGAAGAAAGGGTTTTAGTTACGTTCTTAGCTACGAAGAATCAGCCATGCCCCACTAGATTTAGCTCTAAAAATTTCCATTTTGTGTTTGCTAGAGGAATCTTCTGATACCTGTCACTGAGAACTATTGCAAAAATCAGTGTGGTTGAGCATCCCATGCCTGTCAAAGCGACCACATTATTTTCCATATTTGCCATTCTAAAAAAAGAAAGAAGCAGAGTGGCAAAACTACTGGCCTTGAGAGACAAACACTGTTTGAAATTACTCACTCCCTTGACGCTTCTAGGTTTGTTACTGAGACCCTTACAAAAGGAGTAATTTTCTTGTGAGTAATTTAGTCAATCTGTCTAGACAGGGCTAGAGTGCTTCTAAGCACCTCTCCTTTATTGGGGGGGGGGGGGTGGGGGAAGCTGTCAAGTGGGTAATCCTTTTACAAGGTTTATTCCACACACTGGCTTTGATGTGGCCTTGTCAGTAATTACCTTTTCCCTTTTGTTCCACTCTCAGGGTCCCATCACTTCAAACATAATGGCATCTCTTCCGCATAAAGTCAATAGATTTGTTTCTCCTTCCCCTTTCTATTTCCCTGGATTGCTGCAGCACCCATTTTGTAAAGCAGGACCTGAAGGTGCTCAGCATCTCCCTGAAAACACCAAATGCCGTGAAAGGCAGGGTGGCATATATGGCTCATCTAAGTCCTCGCAAACTCATAGGGAAGAGTAAGATTTCTCCTCAGTTGCTGAGTTAAAGCAAAACAAAAGGACACACAGCAGTGATGGTGCTGTTAATGTGACAAACACAATGTGACAAATTCTTACCTTAATGGCATTTGCTCAACCGCAGGGGTCTGGCCAGCTGATCCCTGTGGGCCAGCCGGAACTGTCTGTAGCCATTAGGGCTGTCTCATAGCCCAGACGTGATGAATAGGTTGCTTACTAACTAGATGACATGGTTGTATTTGTTTTCCATACCTGTTGACCAGTGCTCTGCCCATAGCGTTGACTGACTCTGCGTTGGTCTAACCAAGTGTTAGCAGGTTATTAAAAGTTTAACACCATGCTCTGACTCAGGTGTAGGAAAGGGCATTTCCAGACAGGACAGGACCATCAAAGGTAGCAAAGGAAAACGACAGGTTTTCTCACTCTTCCTTCCCTGGTAGTTCTTTCAGAGCACCTGAAAGAGATGCTTGTAATATATGAGCCAAAGTCTCGCTTTGTGTTGGTGTAAGCTACAAGTCACCCCACTGCAGTTATGGGTATCATCAGGAGGAGACGGTATAAGCGGAAGCAGAATTGTGCCCCAAATCCTGTGGTCCTGCAGAATTTATGCAATCCCCCTGATTTTGCCAAGCCATCTAAGGAGCAGCAAGTTCTGAGAGCTAGCTAGCACACCTCTCTAGTGCGCTTTTGGTTGTCCTTGCCTGATCCACAGACCATCTTTCACTCCCTCCAATATCTTTTCTCACTTTTCTCCTACCTCTTTTTCTGTTTGTTCCCTCTGGCTCTCCATGAAGAGCCATTTCATTGCCTTGGCCCACAGGTCCCTAACTCCTCCCTTTGCCCGTCTACCTTTGTGTTGTTCCTCCTCCCCACAGCCCTCCATCACTGACATTTTACTGATTTGACTACTGATTCACTCTTCAGACTTCACAAGCCTTATGATTTCTACAGCTGGCACTCTGCCTCAGCTCAGCCTGATTCCTGGCTCTCCACCATGGCCTCTTGTGCTCTGTGTCCCATATAGGAGACACCCATGATGGGCCTGCTCTGCCATCTACCTTCTTGAGGATGGATGAGGCTGTGCTGCAGCTTCAGGAATGTTAGCCAGGGTGCCCTGGGCTACAGCAGCTCCTCCAGATGACACATGCCCCAATTGTAGCTCAGTGCCATAGTCCATCCTAGTCATATCATATAGCACATTGTGTGGGGACTCATATGTTGGAGAAAGCTGAGACTTTCGCAGTTTCCACAAGGCTGCAAATTCTTCTCTCCTTTGGCCTTTGACTTCTAACCTCTTCAAGAGAAGCCCGGGAGTGAGGCGTTACTGGACCAACAAAGAGCTGACCCGCAGCCTGTTGCTGCTGTTGTGTCCAACAGAACTGGTTCCATGAGCTGAATAAGGTCTTCATAATTACAGAAATTGCTGTAACTCCTCATGGGAAAACTTCTAGATACATATATCCCCTAGGGCTTAGTCCCATTCTGAAGTCCTTTGAGGAGCTGGCATGGAGGGAGATACTAGTCTGCTACTGCTAACTTACATTTCTAAGTTTCACAATGCAGTGAGTAGTCTGGTCGTAATCATCACACAGGTTTCATCCTTGCAAGCTGAGGGGAAAAAAAAAAGGCATTTAGTTTGCAGATTCATCCGTGGGATGAAATTGCTACTTTAACTACTCATCAGGAGCTCAATCAGTAGGGAAAACACATTGGACTAAATTCAGCCTGTGTGTAATCACAGGGGTTACTTGAAGGCTGAATTTGATCTAACTGGTCTGAGTCTCTTGTCTCTTCCACATGATTCACCTGATCCAGTTCTAGTCATTTTATTAGAATTTGTGTCAGTGGTGGATCATCTTCTTTGCACTTCAGGAATTGTTTTATTTTTCCTGAGCTTTATTACCTCACGCAGCCCATCAGCTCTCATATCCATAAACCAATTTCTAAAAGGGCAAAATCCTCCTGCAGCAGAAGGTGATGAAGTCCATGATGTTCCTGAGCTCTTGGGTAAGGTACTGGCAGCTCCTGATGGGTGCCTGGAGAAGCCCAGCTTCCTGCACAAGGGACCTTTATCCTTCTTGCAAGGTTGTTCCACCTTTCCAGAGGGATATAATGACTTTTATTTTCAGGTACACTGGCCTCAGGCCTTGAAGACAACAATCAAGGTCTTCAGCTGGATTTGGTAATCTATGGGCAGCCAGCATAGCCATGTTCCCTTTTGGCCAGCTCATCAACCTCTTGAAGACATTCACACCTAGGACTCAAGAGCTTCTCTAAAAGCTGTCAAGCCTTCATTTATGCCTAAGATCAGCCTGCCTTAATGCTTCCCAATTAGTAGACTGGTTTCTCTGTAGTGTCCCCGTGATCTTGCAGGGACAGCTTCTGGAAATGCAGGGGATCACTCCTCTCTGGCCTGGCAACCTTGCTCAAACAACCTTTATTATCTGGCAGAGGACCTCTCTAAGTGCTGAACCTTTTCTTGACATATTTTGAGTCACTAAACTACCAGAATAAAATTCAAGTGGGGTCAAGTTTTCCAATAAATTCTGAAGTAATTAATAGTGGAAAATATCTCACTGACTAGTCTGTAGGGCAGGTATCATCAGGTGAGCTAGTCACCCTCAGCTCCCTCTATGGTGAATGAAAAGCAATTGCACTTTCAAATGCAGTGTTTTTCACCTGTTGGCTCTCTGCAGTATGATAACATGAACTGTGCCCCAGACATGCATAAAGGCAGTATAGATCAATGCCTTAAATGTAGATGTTTATATTTAGGGATCTGAAGTTAACTGATATGAATCCCACCATTGAGGCTGATGAGCTTGTAGCCTCAGAAACTGGATGGGCCAAAGAGCACATGGCAGGTCCACATAAACTGAAGAGATGAAGCTGCTTGGTGATGCTGAGGAAGGCAAAAACCATCCTGACTCCAAATTCGGAGATGGGTCTAAGCCTAAGCCGGTGAGCCACAATCATGCACCTCACAGGAAGGCTTCAGCTCCCTTTCTGTGGGATTACCATATATTGACCACACCTGCATTTCTGACTGCAAAAGCTTGGAGGAAGAAGCACGGTGGTCATGGGAGCAAATATGCCATTAATGAGCTCCTGAGCCATGTGAGCTTTCAAAGAGATGCCAGGATGCTTGGTTCATCAACAGATGATTTACTGACAGGCTGGGGCAAACATTGTTGTCGTGAGCAATGTGTGAGTGGAGCACTCCTGGAGTACATGCAAACACCCTTGAGCAAAATGTGCAAGATGCAGGAGGACACCCAAACTCTACATTTTATTCTCTCCCAGGTGCTGCCACAGGCATGACTGCTGCTATGACAAGGCAGAGAAGGAAGGCTGCAACCCCAAGATGCAGCAGTACCAGTGGGTGTGTGAGCAGAACGCTGTGCAGTGTGGTAAGGAAATGCTCATTTGCGTTGAGTTCGTTTCGCTCCCTCCTCCACAGACACTAGGCTGACCAAAGAGCTTGGTGGGCCTCAGAGGTAGGTCTCGGTATGCTGAGCTGGTTTTAAAGCTGCTTTAGGCAACGTCCGTTCTCCTCCAAGCTCTCTTCCCATCCCTTGCCTGGATCGCTAGGCTTGCCAAGAGTCCCCAGCTGGAGCTGGGATGAATGACGGAGCCCCAGCACCACCCATCCCAGGTAACCTGAGTCCTCCCCAGGCTGAAGAGGGGGAGTGGGGCCATGCAGCCGACAAGTCATCTCAGTTTGGCAAGGATGCAGGTGTCTCTCTGGAGGCTCTCTGCCCACCCACATTAACTGCTCCTCACCATCACCTTCCCACAGCTGTGCAATGGTCTGCAGGGGTGATCCTCCCGTGGCAGTTTTGGCCCTCCCTCCAGCAGGACTGTTCACTTTTTTACTTACCATTATGTGCTACTAGAGAAGAGCCATGCTGTTACGCATGGCTGCAAGAAAGTTTAAATAGGACACCATCCCATGTCTCTGCTTCCTGTGGGGCTCCCCAAAGCCCTAGGGCTCCAGCAGGGATTTTGAAGCTTGCAGAATTGAATGCTCTTGAGTGCCGCAGGCATACCATGAGTGTAGGCTGTACTCAGCTCTACAGTTGGTACCCAGTCAAGAAGGTCTTGAATTGCAGTCACAGCCCATCAGTGGCTCGCACCAGTTTGTTTTGACATACACCAGATGACTTCAGTCTTAGAATTTGTCACTTCTATTTCTAAGTCTCCAAAACGTCCCTGATAGTAAAATCCATTGTAGAACACTTCAAAAGGTTGAAAAGAAACATGTGAGAATAAAACTTGTCCCCATAGCATCAAAGCTACTTGCTTGAACTTAAAAGACTATTTCTACCTTGTCAGAAGTCCATATTCTACAGGTGCAATCCTCAGCCTCTCCAGCAGCTGAAAATGTGCCAGCAGATACAGGATGTGGCACAACACATCTGCAGGTGCTCTCTTCCAAGTGCCAGGACAACCTATTAAATACAAAGTGCTGGCTAAGGAATCTATTGCTTTAATGTATAACTGCTCTCCCTCCCGCTTATCCATATTTCTATAGCTGGCTGATTTTTTCTGCTAGTTATTTTTATTTGAAAAAAAAATCCTGTTTCTTTTTGCTGTGAAGGAACAATCCTAGTTGCCGATGTGAGACATATCATTCAGTCCCTGAGACATGTGCAAAGTATGTCCCATAAGAGTGCACTGGGCTGCAGTTGATCCAACCTGGCTAACAAGCACTAGTTAAACAAATGCCATTAAATCCTTAACTGATGTCCAGGCAAGGCCTGAGAAGCATACATCAACTGTTCTCTGCAAGCCCTCGGCAGGCTTCACTTCCCCTGACATCCCCCATGGGGAGGAACAATAGAAATGCATTCTGAAGGCAAATTTCCTACCCTAGGCTACAGCACAGCAGGTTTTACTGAGGTGTGAAGATATGTCTGATCCCATTCAGACAAAAGGGATGAAGAATTAAATTTCCAGGCATGCTTGGTGGGCCTAGGGTAACAATATCCAGAAACATTAGAAGCAGATCTGCTTGCACTGTCCTTTCTATGCAGGAGGAAGTAAATGCCTTTTGCCTGGCACTGTATCATAAACACAAATATTTTCAGGTAAATTAGACAAAAACTCATTTTACCTGGGATGACTTCTCCTTTTGCTGCTGTTAGGCAGTTTTGTTCATGGAATGAAAAAAACTGGCAAAACCATATTTTTCAGTCCAGGTATGCCATCACATGTAGGTGAATTCCATTCGATAAGTATCTGGAATATAGAAAAGGCTGTAAGTTGTGGGGACTGGTCAAAAAAATCATTCTGCTCTAACAGAAATGGCTGCCAAGCCAGACTCTTGCACTCACATTAGACTGACAGTTGTTGGCACAGCACAGGAAGAACTCAAGTTGCAGAGGGCAAGGAGGAAATCAGGCAGGACTGGTAGCTGAGAAAAAAACGGACTTATTGCTAAGTCCTCATTGGTGGGACCCTTGAAACACTTTTTACTGGTAAATATGTGATTGTCTTCAGACAAGCTTAAGAAATATGGGCTCTTATTTACCAGATACAGGGTTGATCCAGCAAAGCCCAGTGAAATGTGGAAAGATTCCTGTACTCTTTGCAGTTGGTTTTGGAGCAAAGCCCAGGTGCACTGGCATGAAGTCACACTTTAAACTTTGCCCAGTGCAGGGTTCGGTGGGTGTTAGATAATCTATAGTAGCAGCCTCAAATAAACAAGGCACTGTGCTTTGAAATAATAGTCCAATGGCTGCATTTAAGCCACCTATAGGTGGGATGGGGTTCATTAAGCCAAAATCAGTCATTGGCAATGTAGCCACCTGAGCTAGTTGCTTTGATATTCCTTATGGTCCTTACCTAGTCCTATAATTGCATTATAAATAGTTCAATACGTATGATTTTGATCAGCTTCATTAGCTGCTGACTCATAAAAATCAGGTACCTGACCCTGCTGTGGAGTTCCTTGGCTCCTCTGCTGTAAGAGTAACTCACGGAGCACAAGTGAAGGATGCCTGGTGGGTGTTTCTATACCCTCAGGTTTCCAAATGTCCCTCCAGGAGACTCTTCCTTTCAAAGCAGCATTTTTTCTTTTGAAATTGGTCTGATTTGCAGAGGGAGGAGTTAAAAGGAAAGTTGACTAACTGAGGGAAAATGGAATATTTTTAGCTCAGGCTAAGCTAAAATAATTTTTGTTTTTATCTTCAGCCACTGAACTAAACCCCCATTGTTCATGCAGCTCTAGAAGCAGGGAGCACTCTGTGCTGGGCAAATTTTTATAAGTATTGTCAATTTACATTTAGCTGCTACTTTCTGATGCTCTTGGTCACAGTTAAGGTCAGACCTGTTGACAGAGACAGGACAGGGGAGGGTCAGATCCACACACAACATGACATGTTGGTACTTCTCTCTTCCTGCTCCCACAGCCTCTGTTCCCCACAAACTGTTTTATTAGGGAATTTTTCCTCTTAAAACTATTTCTTGCCTTCATCCGATACAGAATCTCTCATTCTCTGCTTACATTTTCTTTTGCAGATAACCTGACAGACCGATGTGAAAAAATGGTGTGCCTGTGTGACCAAGAAGCAGCCAAGTGTTGGGGCGCAGCCCCGTACAACCCACACTTCATCCTCTGGCCAGACTTTTTATGTGGACAGACCCATCCCACCTGCCATTTCAGATATGGAGGGGCAGAATAGTCTTTTGGGGACCTTTCTTCTAACCCTTTGGATCTAGAAGGTGCTGGAATAAAATTTTACCTCCTTTACCAGAGCTAACAATGGTGTGAGAGAATTTCTATCAGGCCAGGGTTTATGAGGAGGAGAGGCAGGGTAAAATATATGCTGAAGGAAGGATCAGATCCTGCTCTGATCATTGCCTTTGCAGAAATGGAGGGTTTGCTCTGCAAGTGCAGTGAGAACACATTACCTGTCACCAAATGGCTTTTTTGTCCTTTTCACATTGCCTGACCTTCAGCTCCCACACATTTGCACAAGATCTGGAAAATATGTAGGGACTTCTGCTGGACTGGTTTGTAAAAAAAAAAAAAAAAAAATCCATCTCTGTGAAAAGATACACTGGCCTTCAAAGAGCCAAGGCGTGCCAGTCTGGAAGTAGAGTGACCCACTTCATTTTCCTGGACCTTGCAGGAGGAGTGGGGACATCAAAGAGGGAGGATGCCTCCTTATTCCTTATTTGTGCTCAGAGGAGTTCTGCTTCCTACCAAACAGAAAAGCAGGGTCTGTCCCAGGGGAGGGCTCCATCCTTTCTTGCAGGGTGTGTGTTTCTTAGCTTATGTAGCCAGCTGTCTTATCGCTCATGTTCTTGCCTCACAGCACTGGGGACACTTTTGAGGCACATTCAAAGGTAAGCAGAGTTACACCAGGCTATTGCCGTTGCAAGGGTTTCTGACTTTTACGATTTGGCACACCCATACTTTGCAAAAGAACATATTGCTTACCTGCCACACATGCTTCAGAGCTGATATGGTGCTCTCCTATACATTGGCATATCCCCCGGTCACTGACCACCTGGGAATCAGTTATTGTCATGTCAGGAAACCGGGGCTGTGGATAACATTAGTCATGTAAGCAAATCTTTCATCTCTCCTTTTTTTTAAGGGTATTAGAGGTTTATATTGAAACACTACGTTTCCTTCTGGCACGAGTAAACCAAAATCCCGTTCTTCCAGCCAGGGGTAGCTATGTTCAAGTGGGCCGCCTTTGCCTCTTCATTACAAGCTTGCAGGCTGGAGCAAGCCAACAGGACAAGAGCCTCTATACCCAGAGGCGCAGACAGACGGGAGCCACTGTTGAACCCCCGGATGCAACACATTCGATTTCCTCGGGTAGGTGTTAGCAGCTGGAGAGCTGTGGGGGGCCTGGGTAGGTCAGGCTCCTTCTGCCTCTTCTGAAGCACAGCTTGGTACCTTGGAGTACCACCTTTAAAATAAGAAGTAATGGCAGGGAAAGACCCAAGGTACCTCATCAGAGTCTAGAGTCAGAGATACATGGTCAAACTAAGTGGTGTTTTGGCAGGTGATAATACAAATTTCTTTACAAAAGGCTGGTTTGCTCCTCGCTGCAGGAGGATGCTGAATATGCCACTGTGGCTGTCAAAGCTGCAGGAAAAAGAAACAGGCTAACAAAACCAAAAATGCCAAAGACAACATGTACTGAGGCGAAAGCTTTTATTCCATCTAGAGCTCCATTTTTGGCTTACTCGACATCAGAAGTTGTTCCACCTGTAGGCTTTGCATCTTCCAGAGACTCCTGTAATGCTGCACCTCAAGCTACACTGAGCGAGAAGGAAAGGAGAGAGAGCGATTGAGCAATACGGAGTTAGTACAACACAATAAACTCTTCCATGGCTTTCTGGCAAGTAAAGAAGTTGTCAACTCTGTTCATACAGGGGATTTGCAAAGGGATGATGCTGTGTGGGCAGCATCAGCCGAGGGGTGCGGGTGCGCTTCTCCGCAAGGGCTGGAAGAGCCTCCCCGGCAAGCCAGGGGCAGAGCTCCGGCCGTGTCCCTGTCCCTGTCCCCGCCACGCTGGCCATCAGGTGGCGGCAGCGCTCCAGTGAACGGCAAGAGCAGCTCTCCCCTCATCCCTGCAGGGCTGGGATTTTTCTTCCAGCAGGCCGAGCAAGATTTTTGAGAGCCGGGAGAAGAGGTGCAAACCGCAAGGCTCCCCACCGAAAGCAAAAAAGTCAGCTGAGCTCGGTCTGCAATGCAGACCGCATCTTGGGTTGCACAAAACAGGAACTAAGCTTGTTTCAAAATCCAGCCTTTAGTGTCAGGCTACTCTAATGAGACCAGCTGACAGAGCTGGGAAAAACAGGAGAGCTTTCGGGTACATCAGTGTCTTCTCGGGTCATTTCTTCAGCTCATGTGTGGCGAAATCGTCTAGTTTTCCCAACCCAATCAGCTGATCTGATAAAAGATATTACTGGGCTTTACAAACCACTCCTCAAACATACACTTAGGTCATCATAGGCTTTCTGTACGTGAGCATTACAAGAATATGGATGTAAGCATGTAGTTGGTAGGAGGAAGAACCATCCTTCAGCATAAACCTAAAAGAACCGAAGGAGACCCAGGGCTTCGTTAAAAGAAGCAGCAGCATCACACTGAACAACTCTTTGCCGAAAGCGGCAATTAAAGAAGATCCTATTGTTTTGTTTATAGGTAACTCATTAGGCCCATGCATGAAGCTTTACTCAACAGAAACAAAGAACTATTTGAAAAAGAGATGGAATATAGAGCCAGCCCTGTTAGGGTTTCATCCACACTGCTTATTTCCTGAACTAGATGCCTTGTCTGACCAGAGGTAAGTAAATGGCTAATTCCTCCTTAAGTTAAAAAAAAGGAACCTTTGGAAATAGGCAATTGGGTTAATCTTTCTAGCAAGGGATTCCAGATTCTGGTTTGTGTTACTTACCTTGGCGAGAGCCTTGTCTCATGCAGAGGACGCACCTCCTCAGCTGTGGGGTTAAAACAATGATCAGAACCACCACGCCTCCAATACCAGCCGCCACAACCCCAATGATGGTTCCAATGGATTCTTCTATACCAAACAAGCCTGGGGGAAAAGGGGAAGTAGAGAGAGTAACATAAAATATTGTCCAGGTAAGCACATGCAATGCAGCCAGCACATTTTCTGCAGTGGCTGCAGAGGAAGCTACTTACTAGGATATCGATTATGCTGATGTCTTGTCTGACATGAAATCATGGGCTTCTACATGGGAGAGAGTGTATTGCACTATGGATTTATTGATTTTTTTCATTCCTTTGTAGGAAGCTGCTATGCTTTCTGGGGATTTAGGGATAGGACAACCCCAACTCCGCAGCAAACCCCCTTAACAGCTGGATGCTACTGGGATGGCAAAAGATGCTGCTGCGTTGTCCTGGTTTCAGCTGGGATAGAGTTAATTTTCTTC